TTTGGAGGCACTGGGGCAGGCCAGAGAGACAGGCCGACCGGGACCCTGTGGAGCCGAGCAAGGGGTCGGGCGAAGTCTTGCGCCCGGCGTGGAGCAAGGCGGCGCGACGGCGCAGGCTGGCCGCCGGCTGTCTAGCAGGCAGCTCCGCAGAAAAGGATCTGCAGATCCTGCTGGGCAACAGGAGTCACCCGTGCGCCCTTGCAGCAAAGGCAGCCAGGCGCATCCTGGGCTGTATTAGTGGGAAAGTAGCTAGCAGGTCCAGAGAAGTGATCCTTCCCCTCTCTTTGGCACTTGTGAGACCAAATCTCCAGGACTGTGTCCAGTTTTGGGCTCTGCAGTACAAGAAGGATATGGGCATACTGGGGCGAGTCCAGTGGAGACAACGAGGATGGCCAGAGGGCTGGAGCACGTGGTGTAGAGGAAGAGGCTGGGGGAAATGAGCCTAATCAGTCCGGAGAAGGGACAGCTAAGAGGAGACCTTATTGCTGTCTTACCACTACCTGATCAGAGGATATGGGGGGCTGGAGCTAGTCTCTTCTCGGAGGTGCACACTGATACAACAAGTTGGAACAGGAGAAATTCCAATTAGATATTTGGATTAAAAACCCCACAAAACATGAGGCTGGTTAAATCCTGGAACAAGTTGCCCAGAGAGGTTGTAGATCTCTGTCCTTAGAGACAGGGCTTGAATGGGCATGGCCCTCAACAGCCTGCTCTAATTAGACCTGTTTTGAGCAGGGGGCTGGACTAGATGACCTCTGGCGGTCCCTTTCAATCTGAATCATGATTCTGTGATCAAGTTGTTGATCTGCATCAATTTACACTATTTTGATGTACATCAATCTGCTGACTCAATATCCACCTCTGCTGCATTTCAAACAGATACTTGTTACAGAAGTGTCTGTCTTGGGTCTCTAACTAAACAACACTAAAAGCATTTTTGCCCTATATGAGACTGTAATACTTATTATAGCTGACAACACAAGTTCTTGGTGTTAGTCTTGCCTCAGGACATTAGCAATTCAAATTCCCTTTCATGCTGATGTTCTCTGCTTGTGAATTCAGATAAACAGCCACTGTTCTGAGCATCAGCTGTGTAGAGGTAAGTCAATACCCTGCATATGACAATTAGAATTTCTTTTCTAAATGTGACTCACAGCTGAGAATAATAGAGAAAAAAATTTCTGGTATGGCATTGACAATTTCACAAGTTCTATAGCCATAAATGCATTATGACAGTCTAGTCGTCAGTAACTAAAGATAAATGCTGATACAGAAAAAAAAAAAAGCTGCTGTTCAGACAGGCAAACAATCCCTAAGAGTAAAGAATTTGTTCTGAAACATTTTGTGTGATCTTTTGTTAACTATTGGTAGGCAGTTAAATAGTATGCTTCTTTCCACTTCTTCTTGCTATAGCTCGCTTTCATCTTTCAATGCTTGTAGTTCCAATACTTTCATCACCCTACTGTCCATAGTAACTAGGGGCCTTAGTAAAAATCCAAGGAAGTAATCAGGTCTGGAACTGATTTCTCAACTGATTAAACAGGAGTTAGAACGCCCACTCCTTTTCTGCTGCTGGACCCTTAACCAGAAAGTCAGTTTGACCAAGACCAATTCTGACAGCTGTGGACCATCTCTGATTTTTGCCTTTTCAAACAGCGTTGCAGGTCCTCAGTGGCTGAGATGCCGCCCATCTGGCAACATGACAAGAGGTAGATTTCTGCCCTGTTGGGACCAACTGACAGATGCCTGTGAACATGTGACATGTCTCCAAGTGTGCAATGGGAAATTTACAGCCTGCCACATCCCCAGGAAATGTACCTCCAAGTGATGTCCCATTTCTATGCAGCACAATGCTAACAAGATGTTGTCCTCAGAGTGTTCCCACAGCTGGGGTATCCATCTGTTTCAAATGGAACTGATACACACGTAATAAAAGCAGACTGTTACAATTTTAGGACATTCTAGATAAACACCATTTTACTTATATTGTGCATTTGTGGTCATTGTTTACTTCTATTATTCTCCAGTATTCAATCATCATAAGTGTACGTTTTAAGCAGTTTATAAACTTGTTTTAAATTAAAATTAATTTCAATTTTATACATAAACTCAACAGAAGTCACATTTAAATAGGCTTATGCAGTCTGTTTAAATAGGACTGTTTTCCTCTGCTATTGTGTTTGAGGTAGGAATGAACAAAACTTACCCAGGTTTTAAGAAATTAGAGACACATGGTTTGAAGATAGAATGCAAGCTCATTATATTAATACAGGATTCCTGAGGTACATACATAAATTCTCTTGACTCCCTCAGTACACGATATTGGCCACTCAGATTAATTTCAAAATTCAATCCTTTAGTGTGGCTTACAATTTAAAGAGCTGAGTCAAGTCAAGGTAATTCTGCTTGTTGAAATCAAAAGGCATTCAAAAGCAGTAATTTCCTTTTCTTCCCACTGGGTGCTTTCTCCTTTCTGTGATCTTAGGTAAAGTTTATGCTGATAGCAACATAAGCTGTCAGCAACTGTTGAACCTAGCCTTCAACTAGTGTATAATGTCTAATTTCAGTGCAAATATAATCATATTTCTCTAATTTTAGCACTTCATTGTGAAAAATGCTTAGCATATTGTGGAAAAATCAAAGTATTCAGTCACTCAATATCTCCCTATCCTCCCCAAATGTGTCATCCTCAGCTTATAAAGTAAGACTTGCTTAGCTGTAAATTCTATGCATAACTAAATTCTAATCAGAAACACTAAAATGCTTTCTAGTCAAGGCTAAACATGTTCATTTTATGGAAACATAACATTTCCAGAGGTGACAAATGAAATACTTACTGTTAACTCTGGCACAATGTTGGCAAAGGAGGAAATCTGACTGAAAATTTTAGTTACACTACATTCAAGAACAAATGTCATATCTATAACTTAAGTTTCTTATAGTATGAAATGTATAACTTATGCAATTATCTGCAAATAAATATTTGTTTTCCATTTTTCTAGTCAGTTTATGCTAAATTTAACATCAGCAACATCAGTTGCAAGTGATAAAACTTTGAGAAAGCTGCAAACATTTAGTTAAAGTAGACCTTTCTATTTTGAAATCATGAAGCTTCACTGCTTGCCTTGAAAACAATCAAGCAGATGATGCAGTAACAGTTATCAGAAGCATTCTGAGATTTCCATAGCTGGAAGCAGTAAAGAAAAATCTGTCCTTTTTGAACTTAATCCTTGTCTTCTCAGCAGATACACAGGTACAAAACTAACGCTTTTGTCTTAGCAAGATGTATTGCTCAGCAGCGGTGAACCTTGCAAAGCAAATTTCTTTAATTTGCTGCCACAATCATTTATTTCTGTGACCAAATATGGATAGTACGATGATAGACTTCCGATGCTTTGGCAGCCACCACTTCAGTTTCCCCTCTTCATGTCCTCTAGCAACAAAAAAATTCAACCATTTTGTTCTAACTTAGAAGATATAGTAAAATTGCTTTTATAATTATTGTGATTCTATCCTGTCAGACACACTATCCTGTGTCTGATACCACACGATAAGCCACAGAGCAAAGGCATCAGTCACCATAAACTGTATTAACAAAAATCATCATCTTCTGATCCATGTAAAAGGATTTCTCTACTCCTATCGGGAAGTGTAATGATTCTCTACTTTTGAATAGCAGTATCTTAACTTGTAGATGGAAGGTTAGCACTGCAATTCCTGCCACAATGATGATCTCTATTGTTAGGAGCTGCGAAGTAAATAGTACTTAGACTTGTCCTACACCACGAACATTCTGCTTTTCTACCTTTTTTTTCCCTCCAAGCACCTTCCTTCACGCCAGTCGGGTGGCCCCCTCCAGCCCCCCAAACGCCCGTCCCCTCGCTCCTGTGCATTTACAGGGAAGGTTTAGTTTGTCTGGCCAATAAGTCATTGTCAGAATTTATGAAGACATTTGAAAAACTGTCATTGAACTAACATGTTTAAACATAGTTTTTTTTCTTTCCTAAGAGCGCTATTATCTTCTTTCTTCTGACTGAATGTTATAGAAACCTGAAATGCAAATAATCATGAAACTGCTTGTTATGTAAGAAAAGCAACAGCATTTTATTATATATGGCATGTGGAATTACTAAGACAGCCTAGCACGACACTGGACAGAGGTCCCCTGCTATAACGTGTTAAGTAGAAAACCCATACTACAATAAGCATATCAACTCTTCTGCTTTAAATGAAAACCATTTGTTCAAAATCATTCTATCAAACCTCACAGCGTTAGGGCTGCACAGAATTGGGGCTCCTGGGCTGAGCTGGGCAGCGTGACTGGCTGCTGGGGGTGCAGGGGAGGACGGCCACCAGAAAGCACTAGCTAGTCAGGGGGATTATAAGTTATATTCTTTCACAGCAAAAGGCTGCTGGTAGCAAACACGTTTTATTTACATGGGAAGAAGGAACGGTGGTTGGATGGGAGCGCCAAGGTCACGCTGGCTGGGAGGCCGCGCAGGAGCCAGCGCTCCGTGCAAGGCCAGGACTACGGCCCCGCGAGAGAGCAGCTGGCC